ACTGAAAGGTCCATTGTCTAATGGAAGAAACTACCATTATTCGTGTTGTTACATTATTTCAAGTTCACAGGTGTACTTTGTAATGAAAGGTTCACTGTCTAATGAAAAGACTATTATTCGTTCTATGACATCCAGGGTTAACATAATTCAGCATATTAATATATTTATTGATTACTTTAATTTTCACATAATACTTCAATAAAATGACACAACATGTAAGTAATACATCATTACAAACGACACTTTCTTTAATTAAAACAGTTTTTTAAGATGCAGCAGAGTCATACCACTGCTTTTTTTCCCACAAAAGGCACAAGAGATATTGATTTGAGATTATATTGCTTTAACCTCAAACATGCTTATTGTCTTGCAAAAAAAAAAATCTTTCAAGGAGTTGACCAAATTACAGTACTATTAAATACCGATTCCATTGTCAATATAATCAAGTACTTATGACAGAGACGTGAGATGCTTTAATCTATTATTACCTCATAAACGCAAATCTAAGCTACATAGGCTTATCCACGTAACTGCGCTATATGCTGTATGTGTTATTATTTTCCAGTGTGTTATTGTGGAATAACAAACCACTAGATGGCGCTATTGACTGATCAGAATCGAGTTTTCCAGAGAGCCGTGTAATAATGTGGTAAACTGTAAACTGCCACTTAAAGCTAATTACATTGTTGTAAGACTGAAACAAACCACTTTTGATATAATCAGAAATAATATAGCTTTAAGAGCATTTCATTATAGTCGGTGATAAACCGTGTTTTATGTAAAAACAACAACAATTTTAAATTCAGCTACAGTGTTATATGTTGCACATTTATTTCTGAATTTATTCTTCTGATTTGTATGTTTGTGTTTTTATTTGTCCATATGGCAAATAAAAGTCAGGATAAAAAATGGATTAAAATGTTTAGAATGTGGATTTGTGGTAGAAACTAAATCAGTAACAGTATCGATTCAGTAACTCGTTTACTTTCACACAGCACACTTTTACGTACACACACGTTTACTTTTACAAATCACACAGCAATTCTTCACTGAAGCTCCTCCCACAGCAGTTCTCCTTCACTGAAGCTCCTCCCACACAGCAGTTCTCCTTCACTGAAGCCCCTCCCACAGCAGCAGTGCTCCTCCCACAGCAGTTTTTCTTCACTGAAGCTCCTCCCACACAGCGGTTCTCCTTCACTGAAGCCCCTCCCACAGAAATTCTCTTTCACTGAAGCCCCTCCCACAGCGGTTGTCCTTCGCTGAAGCCCCTCCCACAGGAGCAGTGCTCCTCCCACAGCAGTTTTTCTTCACTGAAGCTCCTCCCACACCGCGGTTCTCCTTCCCTGAAGCCCCTCCCACACAGCGGTTCTCCTTCACTGAAGCCCCTCCCACAGCAGCAGTGCTCCTCCCACAGCGGTTCTCCTTCACTGAAGCTCCTCCCACACAGCGGTTCTCCTTCACTGAAGCCCCTCCCACAGCAATTCTCTTTCACTGAAGCCCCTCCCACAGAAGCAGTGCTCCTCCCACAGCAGTTTTTCTTCACTGAAGCTCCTCCCACACTGCGGTTCTCCTTCACTGAAGCCCCTTCCACAGCAGCAGTGCTCCTCCCGCAGCAGTTTTTCTTCACTGACGCTCCTCCCACACAGCGGTTCTCCTTCACTGAAGCCCCTCCCACAGCAGCAGTTCTCCTTCACTGAAGCCCCTCCCACAGCGGTTGTCCTTCACTGAAGCCCCTCCCACAGCGGTTGTCCTTCACTGAAGCTCCTCCCACAGCTGTTCTCCTTCACTGAAGCCCCTCCCATATCGGTTCTCCTTCCCTGAAGCCCCTCCCACAGAGGTTCTCCTTCACTGAAGCCCCTCCCACAGCGGTTCTCCTTCCCTGAAGCTCCTCCCACAGCGGTTCTCCTTCACTGAAGCCCCTCCCATAGCGGTCCTTCTTCACTGAAGCCCCTCCCACAGCGGTTCTCCTTCCCTGAAGCCCCTCCCACAGCCGTACTCCTTCACTGAAGCTCCTCCCACAGCGGTTCTCCTTCACTGAAGCCCCTCCCACAGCCGTACTCCTTCACTGAAGCCCCTCCCACAGCGGTTCTCCTTCACTGAAGCTCCTCCCACAGCGGTTCTCCTTCACTGAAGCCCCTCCCATAGCGGTTCTTCTTCACTGAAGCCCCTCCCACAGCGGTTCTCCTTCCCTGAAGCCCCTCCCACAGCCGTACTCCTTCACTGAAGCTCCTCCCACAGCGGTTCTCCTTCACTGAAGCCCCTCCCACAGCAGTTCTCCTTCACTGAAGCTCCTCCCACAGCAGCAGATCACCAATAAAAGCTGGAATATTCCCCTCAGTCTACAAGTGAAGAGGTCAGAGTTTGAGAAAGAACACAGAGCACGAGAGATCCAAAACCTGCAGAATGGAACACCAAGAACAAAGAGGTTGGTGTTTATTTGGGATTCTTCCTTAAAAAGAACTTTGGGAACATGAAGGTCGTAAATCTTTAATTACTGGGTGTAGTTTAGTTTAGTGGTTGTAGTTAGAAAAGTCATATGAGCTGTGAAATGGATAAAATAGAAAGCAATATTTGGGATCTATGAACTGGGTACAGACTGGAGCCTGAAACTGAAATCTTTTTTTATTTTTATTTTTCAACAAATGGTCAGTGAAATGAGATTTGAGAAATATTGATAATTCATCAAGACGTCAGAATAAATATTACATGGACTGTATTATTTACATTTCTTTTAATTCTGAATTTTTTACAACTGTTACTAAACTGTATTTTGTTACGTTTGTGCTCACTCTTAAGGCCTTTCCATTCAAATTTCTCGCTTTAATTTTTTTAATGAAAATGAGTCCCCTTTGACCCTACATAGATCAAATCGTTTAGAAAAATATGTGAATGGAATCTTTTGTTCAGAATTGGCAATGTATATATAACGAGCAAATACATCATGAAACATCAACCGTGTTTTGTCTTATCATGATTCACTACTGTATGCCTATAATGAGTGTTTATATTCAGACTCGTCATAAACAGAGAGAAGTACACTCTTAAAAATAAAGGTTCTTTATTGGCATCAATGGTTCCATAAAGAACCTTTAACATCTACAGAAGCTTTCCGTTCCACAACAGGTTCTTATTGGTGTAAAAAGGTACTTTAGATTATTCAGATGTCTTTGACACTAAGAAATACATGGCTCCTTTAAGAACTCTTTACTGATAAGTTCTTTGGGGAACCAAAAATGGTTACTCTATGGCATCACTGAAAAAGATCTTTATTTTTAAGTGTATAGCTCCGGCTACAATGCTCTTCCGCAAGACGCATGAAGTTTGTTTATTAACCACTAGAGAGTCAAATGTTACATATGTTTTTTACTTTCATTTTAGACCTGATGGAAGAGAACGAGGAGAGTGAAGAACTGAGTGAAGCATCTTCAAGTTCCTCACATAATGAGAGCAATGTTTTACTGACAAGAGGAGACAAAAAATCTCTCACCTGCTCTCAGTGTGGAAAGAGTTTCTCATACAAATGAAGTCTTAAACTTCACATGAGAATCCACACTGGAGAGAAGCCGTACTCATGTGGTCAGTGCGGGAAGAGTTTTGCACGAAAAGGAGTTCTTAAACAACACCTAAAAATCCACACTGGAGAGAAGCCGTACCCATGTGATCAGTGCGAGAAGAGTTTCAGACATGCCTTCACTCTTAAATCACATCTGCGCTCTCACTCTGGAGAAAGACCATTTTACTGTGACCAGTGCGGACAAATGTGTGTCTCAGCATCTTCCTTAAAGAGCCACCTGAAAGTTCACACAAAGGAGAAGCCTCACATGTGTTCCTTCTGTGGAAAGAGTTTTTCACAGCTGAGTACTTTAAAAGAACACCAGAAAAGACACAGTGGTGTGAAGGATCACATGTGCTTTGAATGTGGGAAGACCTTTGTTAGAGAACTGAGACAGCACTACATGATTTTATTGAACAAAATGTAACATGCCTATACATAATATGAACATAACCAAGTACATTATGTATTATATCAAATACCTGCAGAGGGCGCCAACGGCCTGGTGACGTTTCACTTTACAGCGTGATTAAACAATGTTTAAATCCATTCAGTTTTAATATTTGGCCACATGCAAACTCAGAAACTTTTATTGTGAAATCGTGGTGTACAATAAACGGCATATTTAGACATAGATTCATGTATTCTCCTGTGTTGGCAACGGTTTATAAATGATATACATTACAAATCTAGTGAGATAATGCACACTGTTTTCCCAGATGAATGTTAAGCAATTCAAATTCACAGCAAATGCAGAGTAATAGTTTAGCCCCTTTCACACATACAGTCTTTACTGGTAAATTACCATTAATAGATCATGTGTGAACAGGACCTTTTCAAAAATCCTGGTAAATTTGTTCTGGCCATTATATCGTTCTTATGGAGATGACGTGATTACTCTGAGCTGTTTATAATCTCCGCTGCTTTTTATAATTAGTTTCTATGTAAATAGGCCTATGCGCTAGATGGACATCTTTGTTCATTGCGCCTTGCAGCTTTTTCAACGTGTCGCGCTTCTCCATTCATCAGGGCTGCGATGCGCGTCTCGTGTTTATAAGAGCAAAAGCTTCTGATTGGCTAGTAATGTTAATTTGGTTGAGAGTGAAAGCTGTGCTCCTCTCATACCATTGGTAGGCGAACTCGTGGACTCGAAAGTGATATCAACAAGTGTTTTTTAAATGTAGGATTATTTTTTTCCGCAGCCAAACACTGCACGCCGGAGAACTTTAAGCCCTGAGACTGTTTAATCAGGCATTTTCTGTAAGCCTTCTGTGACATTTTATGTATTGTGAAAAGTGCTATTCAAATAAACGTGAACTGGACATTTTTGAATATACCATTTGGGTGTTTGCAAACAGCAATGACATGCATTGTTCCTACATGGAGTAGTTTGATTTTCTAATATCTACACAACAATAAAGGAATTACGTCATTCACGTTACTGACGATGAGAAAGAAACTGGCACTGATCATAAAATCTCATCCTAATGGTCATACAGGTAAATGTCAAAATTTAAGTCTATAAAAGGAACAAAATAAATAGGATTACACAAAATATATAATAGGCTATAATATAATTAACAGATTAACAAAAGGAGAAAAAAACACTGCAACAAGTACAGGCTATGCTCGTTTTTGTGACACTCTTAATGCATTTAATTTCTTTTCTTCATGTCTATCTGAACGCACAGGCGCCTCACACACACACAAACGACATTAGTTCTAGCGTTGCCTGACATTTCAGCCATTCATCATCAAACTAAAACGCAGTCAACCAAACATAAGTTACACTGTTTATTTTAAAAGGTGCCGCATGCAGCACCTAAACAAACATTTTTGCACATGTGAAGGATTTCACATGGATATTAGAACATGACTGAAGTATAAAGCCATGTTTAGGCTACATAATGAATAATAGTTATGCAAACTAATGTTACAAATATGGCAAAAATAGAAACATTTGGATTCTTGTGGTATGAGGCAGGCTCGTGAGCCGTTTCAGTTTTGCTTGACATATTTATATTGTTTATAATGAATGCCACTATAGCCTTTTGTTTTATTTTATAGTTTAAAATATTATTTTATAACTACTTATTTTTCATTCTTGTTCTGTTCTAAATACCGTTAAATATTTGATGTATTGATGTGAGCGGAACTAAATAGGCTGTTTACATTTACCAGAATTTTAATTATACTATATATTTTATATTTAATAAACTACGTAATTATCAAATCTATTATTAACATTAATAAATATATAATGAAGCCATAACGTTGAACTCATAAAATAATGTATAAAAATATGTTAAAAAATAAAATATTTTATATTAATAAAAATAAATCCATATTCAAATATTATTTTCATATTTTATTAATAAAAAACATTTTTAATTAACTAGTGATAATATTGTTAACTCAATCTTGTTTTCCTCCTTTTAAAAAACTGCTAAGACTCCCCTATGGTGAAAATCACGTTTTAAACATTGTTTATATGTCTGATGTTTTTAATATGCTTTAAGACAAACCAAGTGCAAATGTTTGTGCCCTGTTCCTAACGTCACCAACAAGTAAGCATGAGTGCAATTAAATTAAAACATTAACCTCAACATGAATTTATTGAGTATATAATTTTGAATATAGAAATATTAAATGATTGAACAGAAAATATATTTTTAAAATGAAACTAAAACTGCCAGTAGGTGGCAGCAAGTCACTGATTGTATCACTGAATCATTCATTCAATTGATTCATTCGAACGGCTGATTCATTCAGGAACAAAGTACGTGACTGTCTTTATGAATGGGTAATTGAATCATTGACTCACTAGATTCGTTTAAAAACACAGTTCATTCATAAACAAAACACAGCTGTTACTTTGTTTGAAACTATTTTCGTTGACGAAATAGAGCAAAATAAGGCAATAGTGTTGTAGTCAGACAATATCAGTCACTTAATATTAACTTATTGTTTAATGAACTGTTGTATTAAATCAACATCACATTTGCAAACTCCCTTAATAATCATTAAAAGCTGTCACTCATCTTAATTCATCATGATCTCTCAAAACTCTATTATAATCAACGAAGCTGTCTACACTGCACAATGAATCTCTTATTTACACCCCGTCAACACGGTGTTTGTTATAATGAGAGGATACGACTGTGATGCATTACTCAACGCTGCAGAAACACGGTGTAATTACATTAGAAACCTAATATGCTGACTGGGTTAGTCGCACAGGTGCTCCTTAATATTTTTTTATAGTCGCACGCAGTAGTTTTAATTCGCAAATGCAAATGAAATGGTCCCACTGTAGACAAAAGCATTTCATTATAGTCATTATAGTTCAAGTAAAAACAACAAAAATCTAAAAACCAGTGATCAAAAACTCACCTACAGTATTAGATGTTGCTTACAAATTTGTACATTTATTTCTGCATTAATTCTTCTTTTTTACTCTACCACTAATTGTGGTATTTATTTGTATGTTTCTACAATAGTGTGTCAATAATGCAAAAGGACAATAGTAAACACTAATTTTTCAGTTAAAGACAGTTCATCATTGAATTCAGTGATGTCAACATCCAGCTCAGTTCAGTTTAAATAGTGTCTGTGCAATCAAGTCCACGATATCGCTGGTAATGAAGTGTCCCCAACTAAGCAAGCCAGAGGAACAAAAACTCCATCGGTGACAGAATGGAGAAAAAACCTTGGGAGAAACCAGGCTCAGTCGGGGGGCAGTTCTCCTCTGACCAGACGAACCAGCAGTTCAATTCCAGGCTGCAGCAAATTCAGATTGTGCAGAGGACTCATCTGGCTCCTGTGGTCTTGTCCCGGTGGTCGTCTGAGACAAGACCTTTACTTGAGAACATAATGAGAGCAATGTTTTACTGACAATAGGAGCTAAAAAATCTCTCACCTGCTCTCAGTGTGGAAAGAGTTTCTCATCCAAACTAAGTCTTCAACGTCACATGACAATCCACACCGGAGAGAAGCCGTACCCATGTGATCAGTGCGGGAAGAGTTTCAGACATGCAAACACTCTTAAATTACATCTGCGCTCTCACTCTGGAGAAAGACCATTTTACTGTGACCAGTGCGGACAAATGTGTGTCTCAGCATCTTCCTTAAAGAGCCACCTGAAAGTTCACACAAAGGAGAAGCCTCACATGTGTTCCTTCTACGGAAAGAGTTTTCGTCAGATGGATAATTTTAAATTGCACCAGAAAAGACACAGTGGTATGAAGGATCACATGTGCTTTGATTGTGGGAAGACCTTTGTTAGAGATGCTGATCTGAGACAGCACCAGACCACCAGAGAGAAACCATACAAGTGTTCACACTGTGAGCAGAGGTTCAGTCGGTCAGGACGTATGAAAACACATCAGAAGATTCACGCTGGAGAAAAGCCTCACATGTGATCAGCGTGGGAAGAGTTTCACTAAAAATCCTCAACAGAGACTCTTAAATCTGCCTTTTCATTGTGGAGAAAGACTATTTAACTCATCAATGCATTTAAAGCTTTCTTTGGGCATTATCCCTGAAGAAGCACCTGAACGATCATTCAAAGGAAAAGCTTCATGTGGAACTTGTTTAAAATTAAAAAATAACACCAGAAAAGACACAGTGTGTGAAGAATGATGTGTTTTTTGATTGTATGAAGACTTCTACTACAGATGATAAACTGAAACGGCACCACACTGTGCTAACACTAGACTGTAGTAACAACTCAAATTAAAGTTTTAAGTTGATTTTGACAATTAGGCTAATGTTGTATTGTGGTGAGATAATGAGTAATGATAACACCTCTAACATCTGCATGATTATGACAAAAATCATAACTGTCGACTATTCCCTTTATATTGTAATTGCAATGATTAATGTGGTAGATATATAATAGAATATAATTATTCGTCACACATTCAAGTCACAAAACATAACACAGAAGTAGCCTTAAAAAAACAAAATAACAAACTGGAGAATATACTCACATTATAACATGAAAGATGTTTCTGCTGGGAAATGACTTTTTTTTTACTTGGTTAAATTTGAGTGATGTGGTGGAGAACAATGAGTTTATATCATATAATATGTTTAAAAATAAAAATATATGTATTATATATTTATTAAATTGTATTAATATAAATATGTTTAGGTTATAATTCAGGTTTCAAAATATAGATTTTAAATGTCTCAACACATATTTGAATGCATAAATAAACCAAACTGAAGCTTCAAATTGCCTTTGTTTTACACGTATCACTTGTTTTGCTAAGTTAAAAGTCTCTATAGCAGTGTTCCTCAACCCTGGTCCAACACTGCACATTTTGTATGTCTCCCTTATCTGACACCCATTTCAGGTCCTGGAGTTTCTTCTAATGAGCTCATGAGTTGAATCAGGTGTGTTTGATTAGGGAGACACAAACTGTGCAGTGCTGGGGGGCGCCCAGGACCAGGGTTGAGAAACACTGCTCTATAGGATTCTTTAGAACCCTCTAGTGGCAGTAACCATAAAATGCAATTTGTCATTTTCTTTCCGCCAGATGGCATCAGAGACACTCAGTGACCCAATGCAAAGTGTACCTGTAGGTTTTTGATAGAAAAGGACTGAAATTGTGCCTTTGTTGTTTGTTTGTTTTTTGGAGAAGTAATGTAAAACAATTGCTTATTTGCTCATACTTTCTTAAAAATATCCAGAATATAAGGTAAATAAAATACAAATCACCAAAAAAATAATAATAATTAAAAAAATGGATCAATATAAGCTTTCTGTACAAAAAAAAAAAAGTGTAATTTTTGACCCGCGAGGGACACTTTTGTTACAAGTATGGGAGGGACGGATGAGGTTTAAAGGATAAATTAATGTTTTATGCCTTCATTTATAAATTTAAATACGAAACAGAATTTCTGTGGAAAAATGCTTTTGATTATTAAAATGTAATTAAGCCATTAAAATGTATTCCAGGAAAAAAAAACATTATTATTTCACTTAAAATAAAATAAGTTGTTTTTTATTAATTCAGTTATAGACATGCTTCTGATGATCAAAATCTAATTCGACTATTAATATGGAATCCAGAAAAATTAAAATAGGAAAAAAAGAATTAAAAAAAATAAGTAATTATTAGAACAATAGAATTGGAGTTGGGAAAATAAAACAGATTTCATAGCCCCACATAAGCCTATGTACCTGTTAAGACTGATTTAGAGTTATTGATGCTACATCATGCAGAAATTTCATCAGTGATGTCTTAATACACAAAAAGCATAGTTCTTGTAAAATGCTATCAATGATTTCCTCAGAGTTTGACTGTTTTGCTATTGCAGGGGATTTTAATATTCACATAGATAATGCGGAAAACAAAACTACAAAAGAAATTATAACTGTTTTAAACCCATTTGACCTGATTCAGCATGTGCATGAACCCACACACAATCATGTACATACGTTAGATTTACTCATCAGTAGAGGTCTAAACATTTCATCCATTGTTATTAAGGACGTAGCACTATCTGATCACTTCTGTATTTTCTTTGATATATTGATCTCTGTTACCACTGAATCTAGATCAGTCTCAGTCAGAAAGAGATGCATTAACGAAAACACTAGTGTGCTATTTATGGAGGCTATATCTTTAACACCAAGCATTTCTCCAGACTCTGTTGATCTTCTCCTTGATTCCTTTAACTCAAAAGTTAAGAATGTTATTGATGACATTGCTCCTTTGAAAGTCAGCAGGAAGACTGGCAGACAGAAATCAGCTTGGAGAAAATCAACAGCAGTTCAGAGTATGAAAAGACAATGCAGAAAAGCTGAGCGGATGTGGCGGAAGACGAAACTTGAAATACACTATAGCATATATAAAGACTGCCTAGTTCCACATTGAAAGTACAAAGGCTAAGCTAGACAGGCATTCTTCTCAAACCTTATAAACAGTAACTTAAACAACACTCGCACTCTTTTTGCTACTGTTGAGAGACTGACAAACCCCCCAAATCAGATTGCCAGTGAAATGCTCTCCGACAGCAAATGCAATGAGTTTGCTTCCTTCTTTTCTGAGAAGATCAATAATATCAGGAAGGCGATTAGCACATCCCCAAGTTATGCAGAGGTTAGACATATTCGACCACAATATCAAAAAGAAGATACTATGTCTGCTTTTGAAGAAATTGATAGCAAAGTTTTGGAAGAAATATTACAGCACCTTAAATGCTGCTATCTTGACACACTTTACACATCTTTTTTCAAAAGGGTGCTTAACTGTTTGGAAGCAGATTTCTTAGAAGTGGTGAACGCCTCACTTCTTTCTGGGACTTTTCCAAACTCCCTGAAAACTGCAGTTGTTAAACCCCTTCTGAAAAAGAGAAATCTTGATAACACCATATTGAGCAACTACAGACCAATATCAAATCTTCCTTTTATAGGAAAGATTATTGAAAAGGTAGTCTTTAATCAGCTGAACAAATACTTAAACTCAAATGGATACCTGGACAATTTTCAATCTGGTTTTCGACCGCATCACAGCACAGAGACAGCACTCATTAAGATAATAAATGATATTCGCTTAAATTCTGAATCTGGCAAAATATCAGTGCTGGTACTACTAGATCTCAGTGCTGCGTTTGATACTGTCAATCATAACATACTACTAGAGAGACTGGAAAATTGGAATCAGCTTCCAGAAGAGATCAGATGTGCTAAAACATTAGTCACATTCACATCTAGACTCAAAACTCATCGGTTTAGCTGCACATTTATTGAATGAGCACTGTGCGATGTCCGAACTGATTGCACTATATTTTATGTAAAATCGTTTTCCTAAATTCATTTTAAACCTCTTAAGTCAATTTTTAAAATCATTTTCAAAGTTATTAAATTCCTTGTTTTATTGTTGTGATTATTCTTTTTTTTTCTTTTATTTGATGTAAAGCACTTTGAATTACCATTGTGTATGAAATGTGCTATATAAATAAACTTGCCTTGCCTTGCTAAAAAAAAAGATCATGCAAACTGCATCTGTGATTTGCCATGTTAATAACATACTGATTCCATACTGAGTCAATAATGTTTTGACTATCAGACACCCTCATCAGTTACCCAGTTCCATTCATTTCCCTTAGCCGTCAAACTCCAGATCTGATTTTGTGCAGGCTAATCTCTCAAGACTTTTCCAGCCATATAGATAGCCAACAGCAAAGCGGGCCACTCAGTCCCGCAGACTGTATGAAACACCCTGGACACCCTTTTTTTGTCTTGCGGACCCCTAAGGCTGATGTGGCCCCTTTACCAGAGGAGCGCAGTGTGTTACAAAATGCTGGGCTAAGAAAACGAAAAATTACTTTTCTGAACAATAACAGCTCTTCTTACACTGAATTTTGTGAACACTTGTGTAGTGCTTATCCTTTGCTGAGAGAGGCAGGAGGCTTTAAAATAATGAGATGTGGAAGGAGCCGGGCACTGACAGAATTACCAGTGCCAAATTCTGGTTACAGTGTGAAATTTCTTCGATGTGAGACTAGTCTCAACAAAGTTTTGGCTTATATTGTGCCACTGCAGCAAGCTCTTTACATAGAGCCAGAAGTAAAGGTATGTTACATCATTTCTTGTACATTTAAATTTTAATGATGTAAAAAATAATTTGTCCTATTTTAAAGGAGGAGGTGGCTGTTGAAATATGCAGGTTGTGCCACAAACATGTAGCTGTCCACAAACTGGAAGAACATGTCAACAGTTGTTCAGGGTACCTGTTAACATAAAATGAAGAAACAGATGCCAAATGCTCTAAACATTGTCGTAGATCCAGCTGATCCATTAGATATGAAATCTCCCTTTTCCGATTAATTCTCAATTGGAAACTGTGATAATGAGCTAGAAGTTCACTTTGATTATTTAATTGTTCAAGGCATCAAGAAAACCAAGAAGCAAAAGAAGAAACAGGGAAGAAAACAAGATGGGACATCAACAAATGGAGCAACAGGAACTAATCTTTAGAATAAGGAGAATAATTCAATTTCTGCACAAACAGGAGGATTTAAATAAGAAAATAATGAGGATGCTAAAGGAAATTATTGATTAGGCAAATTTTAATTTGGAGTTGCAATCCCTGGCCAATGATATCAAAGCTTTGAGATTGCAAACATCTGAAAAGTCCTAAAAAGGATATACATCTAGTTAGAGTTTTTACTCAACAATTAAAACCGCCACGTGTGTATACTGTGTGCTCACTGAACAATGATTGTGCAAGGAGATGCATTTTGCAACAATGCTGCAGAATGGACCTTCTTTCTTAAAGTGTTGTATTGTGAAATGTTTTATCTTATCTTACAAGAAATATTGCGATATAGTTTAGAAACTGCTATTTGCCTAAGCCTACGCCTTTAAGATGTTGTAATTGTTTAGATTACAGTAGAGATTTTTCTCTAAAAAAGATGATTACTTCATTTGAATTTATGCTACTATGAGTTTGTTAACTGGGTCAAAAGTCACATTTCCTGGCATACGCAATCTATGCTTCGCTCACACTAAGAGAAAGGGGTGTGGGTTGGTTTGTGTATTATCTGAATATGGAGATACGGAAAAGGGACCCATTGTTTGTATGACTATAAAATG